GTTGTGGTGTGACTGAACTACATCATCAGTATTCCTAATTTTTACTTTATTATACATTTCTAATTTAGGAAATCAGACTAAGCAGTCAGGCCTTCAAACAATAAAAGTATAGAATATGGCACTCTTTGTTTTTATTTCTACAGTTTTATTTACAGCTTGTAAAATGGCAAAAGTGCTCCTTTTTTTGGCAGTACTCTGGAGAGCTGTGTGTGAGTGCAGTGGTACGGGTCTTCAATGGTCTGACACTCACCTGCAAAATGCAGCCTGGGTCTCCAGTGTGCTGCTGATACCTACAGTTTCTAAGGTAGTAAACACACTACCTTAGGATTACCCAATTTCTGGTTATACTTTTTGTCTGCCATCTCTCTCAGATAGCCAAATGGTCCACAATTAAATTTAAAGTCCCTTGCATTCATTTTGAAGCCCAGTCGATACGTCCATTTTGTATCCCAGGACTTTTGTGGACCTCGCTTATTTCTCCACATTTGATTTCTCCCTATAACACCATAGTTATTCACTCATTGACCCTGTGGTCACGTTATACAACCAAAATGGGTCTGGTACCCCTGTCCGCTCCAGGTCCTCCTTCTTTGGTAATCTGAATTTTGCCACTGCTTTCTCTTCACCGATCGATTACCAATGGTGGTATAATACAGCCCTTATTAAATTAGATGATTTTCAAACAGGGGGTACATTTATCTTCTTTGATAAATTGCAGGCCCAATATAATACTCCAAATAGAGAACTCTACCACTACCTACAGATTTGCCACTTTTTTACCTCACAACATGGCCTTTCCCCTTCCTCTCCTATCACATTTTTCGAGCGATCTGCCATGACTCACCCAGAGGCAGAGGCCTTATATCAGACCTCTTTCTTGGAGACTTCTTATGAAGACACACTCCCTTACAGATCTAAATGGGAAATAGACTGTGATATAAAATTTTCTGCTGAAGACTGGGACACCATGTTGGATAATATTTGCAAAAGTACTAAATCTCGTTCAGTTGGGGAAACCCGATGGTACTATACCCCTTCCAGACTTCATGCTATCTTCTCTGGAGTCTCAGATCTCTGTTTCCGGGGTAGTAATCTCATTGGAACCATCACGCATGCATTTTGGGAGTGTGCCCATCTTTCCACAGTGTGGAGAAAAATCTCAGAGTTTGCCTCAGCATTGGTGGATTCACATGTTGACCTATCTATGCAGACATGCTTGCTTGGCTACCCCATTCTAGGTGTCTCAGTTGGTAGGATGAGATTGATTCACACTATACGTGTATCTACTCTTTGGGTGATTGCTGTATACTGGAGGTCATCTGCGGTCCCCTTGTCCTCTGTATTGAGGATAATTGATATGGGTATGCTTATGGAATGTATACATTATACCTTGCAAGATAGGATGCATCTATTTAACAGTAAATGGGATGACTGGAAACTTCATCGTCATATATTGCTGGAATAACATATATTTATTTGTACTCTAATTTTTCCGCCTTCTGATATGATGATATCTGGCCAACCTATTGTGTGCTTTTTTGTTAGTTGTTTTTTTCTTATATACTGTAAATGTCTCCAGTTATTTGAATTTCTTTGTACCCTTGATTATAATCACATGATATGTAACTAGATATTTGTTTTTTTAGCCCAAACAAAAGTTTGTAAACAAAAAAGAAAATGGTGTGTGGTACCACTATAAAAAAGGAAGACACTAAATATACAATGAAACTGTTATGGCACTGGCCAGTTTGTTTGAGAGCTTTAAGTAATTATAAAGGTTCCAATGTTTTTAAAAATAATAAACATGTCATACTTACCTGCTCTGTGCAATAGTTTTGCACAGAGCAGCCCTAATCCACCTCTTCTTGGGTCACCCGCTAGCGTTTCAGGCCCCTCCCATCTGATGAGTGCTCCCAGAGACACACAGAGTATGGCACGGCCCTGCCCCCCAATACCTCCTCACTGGCTGTGATTGACAGCCAATGGTTCCCACTGCTGTGTCTCAACCAATGAGGCAGAGACCGGGGAGAGATTTTGCTCTTGTGCACACCGCAGGATTGGGATAGGGCTCAGGTGGGGACTTAGGTGGGAGCTGCGCATCCAAGGATTTTTTACCTTCATGCATAGAATTAATGAAAGTAAAAAAAAAACCTTCTGCCTTTGCAACCACTCTAGAGCAGTATTAACCCCAAAACCAAACATGTAATATATTGCAGGTGTCAGGGATGCGGGTATGACCAGAAGTGTGTGGACTGACACAGGGAAACGTAGGCTTCAGATATAGTAAATAATATAATTTATTGATACTAACAATACAAATATAAACGCAGTGCACCAAACCCCAAGCTAACACAAATACATACAACAAGGTGAAACAAACCCAAACCTAAACTGATACAGATACACAGGTACATACACATATAGAGCACAACGTAGTCAGGCAGGCCGGGTCGATAACTATCGGGCAGGTAGGTACAGGAGGAGCAGGCGGAGAGAATGGTCAGGGTCACAAGCCAGGGATCAAGCAGGAGAAGTCAGCAGAGGTCAGGATCAGGCAGGGTCGCAAACAAGTCAGGCAGAAACAGGAACAGGAATACAGGTTACAAGATACAGGGACCCATGGAAAAACACACACCAAGGCCCTGACTGTGAGTCTGGCCATTCCTTAAATACAACCCCTGCAATCAGCTTCAGGTGTTTTGGCTGACTGCAGGGGTGAGTCTCTGATTGCTGAGAGCACCTGCTGGCCAGCCCTGGTACTGCAGCCCACAAGGCAGGTGAGTCCCACCGTTATTGGCAAGTCCATTCCTGACAGCAGGTTACCAATCATTAGGTGTGATGGATGCATCCATTTTCTTTTCTTGGCCTCTTTTCCCTTCTGTTTTCACCTGGTGATCTGTCCATTAACATACCTTCTGTATTCGAGTCAGCGACAGGGACAGTGACAAAAAGTTGCATAAACATATCCAGGTACACCAACACTGAACTGCACTGAACTTTTCTGTTATTATTAGATATACTGTATCCTTAGCCTGATCCTATGCATTGCTGGAGGTCAGTTAGGCCTTTCTGGATGGACTACTTTTCTCCGCATAGCGTTAACCATTTGATCCAAGTGCACAAATGACAGCGTTTGTATGTGATGATTGCAGTTTCAGGGTGATAATATTATCATTCCTTGATTTTAACTGTAATAGGAGAATTTTTTATGCCTTTTGGCTAAACAATGTTTTTTTTACTTGTGATCTTAATAAAGTTTTTCTATTGGTTACGCTGCAGTTGGTCCTCTAGTGAAGCTACTTTGGTGGGTTGTCCTCTAGTGGCCTCCCAGATGTTATTATTCACATGAATACCCCCCATATCAAGCAGTTTGCTAATGGGGGGCTTATTCAGAAGGGGGGATGGAGGGTAAAAGGGGAAGGAGCCTGTAGTGTCTATACACAGCAGGTAAGCATGACGTGTTTTGTTACTTTTTTTTAAATTATAGGTTTAAAATCACTTTGAATTAAAAGATTTTTATTAATTCACTTTGTTACATTTGTAAATGAATCCCAATGGCCCTGCAGAATTTGACGTTCTAACTACAGTAATCTCTTAGTTCTATACTATTTTTTACTCTTGCAATATTGTATGCAATCTGAAACCCTACCAAGATGACATTCAAAGCAAAAAGCATATGTAGCACAAAATAAATACATACTACACTTAAGAATTGAAAGTCTCTATTGGGAAAGTTTCAAAAGCATGTTATCAGCTATACAGTATGGACACACAAGGAAACCTTTGGTGTTTTTGGTGATGAGCTGTTCTTGCAAGTTATTTCTATTTCGTTTTAAACTCAGGCAGATATTTTTTATGCACAATTTGAAAATGATTTTGTTCCAAAGATCTTATGTTCTAACAACAAACAGATATAAAGTGGCTAACACAGAGCTTAAAAGTGGCTCTCCACTATTCTCTGAGTTTATTGATTTTACACATGTTCCTTCAATTCTGCAAACTGCACCAAGGGACTTTTGTGAAATCTAATGTTAAAGAAAGGAAAATGTGATGTTTGCAAATGTTGTAGAAAATGGAAAGTCTCAGTAAGTAAGAGATTATTTTTCTTAATATACTGTGTGTGAGTTAGTGTGTATAAAAACTAAATATAATACACACAAACACTCAAGTCCAATAATTTAAAGTGGTATTTGGATCCCTCTCAATGGCCAATAATGTCTGTTGTTTTTAAAAAAACCAAGCTCTCCCAATATGAAAAAAATAATGAGGGATCCCCCAAAAGCAAATTATTTGATATATTACAACTTACCAATTCTTAAATGTGATGGCTACATTCATTTTTTGTAGGCTTTCTTTCTTCTATTTTCACCTGTTGATCCTGCCAATATAAGTCTGTTGTTTTAAAAAACCAAGCTCTCCAATAGAATGCTTATCATGATCATCTTTTATTTATTTATGTAAAACCTTTATCTCAAAAGATAGTTTGCTAAAATACTATGTAACAAAAAAATATGCATATAAAAAAATGTTTGATGTATCTTCTTATAAAGTAGTAGCAGGAGTTTGGCTTCAATTTATTAGTGTAATGAAATCTGCTAGTCCTCTCCCCCCAGACTGACAATGCTGCTGTTCAAAGGTGTCCCTGTGCTCCTTCATCTAAAATGGGGGCACTCTAATATAGGCAGGGTGTTACTGGCAAGATCATAGGGAAAAAAGCCTAGAAAAATGATGCAGCCACCACATCTAAAATGATTGGTAAGCTGCAATATACAAATTTTTTGGTTTTGAATTTAATACACTTTAACTTTCCACAAGGTGACAACGCTGCTATGATTTCATTACAGAACAACCAGTTTTGTAACTCAATTATAGTAAGTGGAAATCTGTTACTGGCAGAATCATTAGGTATTACAATTTTTGTTACACTGGAGATTCATAAAACAGTTACTGGTACAAAGATAATTTTTTATTTTGTCCAAAGTTTTACTTTACTAATGTGTACTGTATTGTTCGCTGCTCCATAAGACGCACGCAATATTTTGAATCAATGGACTGCGGACATAATACAGGAGAGAGAGACCAGAGACTGCGGATATAGTACAGGAAATGACCAGAGACTGCGGACATAATACAGGAGATGACCAGAGACTGCGGATATAGTACAGGAAATGACCAGAGACTGCGGACATAGTACAGGAGATGACCAGAGACTGCGGACATAGTACAGGAGATGACCAGAGACTGCGGACATAGTACAGGAGATGACCAGAGACTGCGGACACAGTACAGGAGATTACCAGAGATTGCAGACACAGTACAGGAGATGACCAGAGATTGCGGACATAGTACAGGAGATGACCAGAGACTGTGGACACAGTACAGGAGATGACCAGAGAATGTGTACACAGTACACATGACCAGAGACTGCGGACATAGTACAGGAGATGACCAGAGATTGCAGAACTAGTACAGAAGACCAGAGACTGCGGACATAGTACAGAAGACCAGAGACTGCAGACCTTTGGGGAGCAGAGGGGGGGGGGGCGGGTACCAGAAATTGACAGGTACCCGCTCCCACTTCTTCAGAGTTATCCTTCCCCCCTCCATCTACGTAATCTTCTGGGACACAAGATATGTCCCAGAAGATTAGAGGGCCATTCACAAAGCGTGGCACTTCTCGCGCATGCGCAGTGGGCACCCAGATATGAAGCCACAAGCTGTCACAGCCGTGTGCCCATGCCAGTGCCGGGGAGAGAAGACTGAGGACACTGCTGGACCGAGGAACAGGTTGGACTGCTGGAGGTCTGCAGAGAAGAGCCGAGCAGCCAGCTCGCTTTCTAACACGGGGGGAATACCGGGCCGGCCGCTCCATATTTGCTCCATAAGACTCACAGACATTTTCCCACATTTTTTTTTTGGGGGGGGGGAGTGTGTCTTATGGAGCAAAAAATACGGTATTTTATTTCTATATACACCTCTAGTGCAACATCATTTGAAAAATATATTTTAAATAAGACACAGGAAGATCAGTTCCCTATTTATCTATATGTTATTTTTTTTTTAAATTAGAGAAAAAAGCTAAATTTTTGTTTCTGACAGGAACATGAAAATTTATCATAAGGTACTAAAGCTAGTCAGGCAGAACCACCATTTATGAACAGCCAGCATGACAGTGCAAGGCTCTGACACTGTGGAAATGGTCAGGAAAAGGATATAGGGTTGGCACGTTTGTTGAGTGCAGGACTATAGAGTGTTGATTTTGAGTGGAGAAAAACATAGATTTTTTCCAGATTTTGGTAATTGCAGATGGAGCTCCACAGTTTGGAAATTTCAAAGTGCCTTGGGAGGGAAGACATTTCCAACCCAGTATCCAGATTTTGTGGAAGACCAGCAGGGTAGGTGCCCAGGTGCACACAGCCCTGATAATGATGGTCTGATGAGAGCTTAGGTAGAGAGGAGTGGAAGTTGGAGTGGGAGTGGGAGTTGGAGTTACTGCCATGTGGAGACCCCTGTCAGAATACCTGGTGGTGCCTTTCAGAGACTACATCCCTAATGTGGAGGATTTCTTGACAAAGGACTGGGAAAGCTGGGATAGTTAGGCGGACTTGGGAGAACAAGAGAGGGATCTCCTGCATGGTAGGGGTTGGGGAAAGACCTGACAACCTACCCTGTAAAATAATTGCTAAGAGAATTTATGGAAAAAGTCGTTTACGAGTGACGGTCCATGCAATCGCCAAGGTTCAGATAAGACTGAATGGAAAGATAGATAGATAACAGAAGGCAGACGTTTTTTTTTTTAATTTCGGTCTGTTTATTTGCATGTTAAAAAAATTAAAAAAACGCAGTGGTGATCAAATATCACCAAGAGAAATCTCTATTCATATGAAAAAGTGACATAAAATTTATTTAGGGGGGCGCATGCGTGGCCGGCTCCTGGATGGACGCGCTTTGAGTGCAGCTCCGTCCATCCGCCAGCATTAAATTGGCTCACACCAGCCCTGGGGGATAAAAACAGAATACTCACCTCACCGAAGTGTGCCCGCACCTCTGCCGACATGCCCCACAGGAGAAAAAAACCCCGGGGCAGCCGGGGAAACTCACTAAATTCTTCCCGGCCGTCATGCCGGGAATCCAAGATGGCGCTGGCAGCAGCAAACAGGGGGACAGCAGCAGCCACGAGGAGGACTACAGGGCCCAGCAAAGGGATCCCAGGCTGCAACATTCACTATACCCAGGGGACACTGGTGAGTTGTCACCCCCATTGTCCCCCACATCCAGCAGCCCAGCCAAGTCTCGGCCACGACTTGACCATGACCGTGACCCCTCATACCAGGCCTTAAACCTCCCACCTCAGCCACCTCACACAGCCTTGCCTGACATAGATGCATTTCCTGCATCAGACCAGCCACTAACAGAAATATGCATGAAGAACATGCTTGCGTCACTCCGACAAACCCTGCATAACGACATTTCCACATCGCTATATCAAATTACTAAAGTGGTGCAACAACAAGACCGCAGAATACGCCACATTGAAACTAACATGGGAGATATAATAACGGCACATAATGATTTGATCGACGCTCATGCGGATCATTCATCTGACATCGAACAAATCAACTTAAAATTAGCTGACCTAGAAGATCGGTCATGCCGTAACAACATTAAATTCAGAGGGATCCCTGAATCAGTTACTAACGAGACCCTACTACCTTACTTACAGCAATATATCAAACTCCTCATCCCATCACTTTCTGACTTAGAGCTTGCGATTGATCGAGCCCATCGACTACCTAAGCCTTCATTTCTGTCAGCATCTATTCCAAGAGATGTATTGACCCACACATACATTTCTACCACATTAAGGAAAAAATTTATGACGGCGGCCAGAAATCCACCTCCGCTCCCGCCATCACACGCAAATCTCCGACTGTATGTGGATCTATCAAAAGCCACACTTCTCAACAGGAAAAAAATTATCTCCATTACCAAAGCCTTAAGAAACCACGGCATAGCCTACCAATGGGGTTTCCCCACAAAGCTAACAGTGCGGCAAAAAGGCAGGATCTTTACGATCAAAACCCTGGAAGCAGGCCTAGACCTACTCAAAGCCTGGAACATTTCTACCCGCAGAGACACAGGAAACTGCACCTACCTCCATCCAACACATGGAGGCATCATAACGAGTAACGCGGCACATTCCATGCTCAGGCACACCTATACCTCTCCCCAGAGGCCACTTCTCAGCATACAACTTTCTGGCGATCGACCTAGACCCGATGATGTTCGTCCTACATGATTACAGTTGGCATGACCCCTCCGGCGGTCAAAGCCCGTTCAAACCCCCCAAGTTTTGAAGTAGCAATGCAAGCTGCTAGGTTAACTTACATTTTACGCAAGTGTTTTTTTATTGTTCTTTGTGTCCCTACCTTCCTTCTACCACGGCACCACCAGCTATCCACTTACACCCCAAGATCTGAAAACCTTGAATCTTTATGGAATACTCACCCTAACTCTCCAATCGAGCCTAATCCATACTGCAGCAATATTACCACTTTCCCTCTCAAAGAGATACTTACTGAACCACGACTCTCTCAAATAACAGCCCAACTACATACACACCTAGGAAAAGTACTTACCAATGATTAACATCACATCTCTCAATGTACGAGGCCTAAACTCTCCTTTCAAGAGATCGATGCTCTCCAAAGAAGCCCAGAAATCCCAAGCCGACATACTTTTTATACAAGAAACCCACTTCGCTACAGAAAAATACCCCAAACTGCATCTCCACCGTTTCTCCCAAATATTTAAGGCAACCAATACCAAGAAAAAGAATGAAGTTATTACTGCCATCAATGACTCTATTTCATGCCGCATCATTTCAAAAACAGCCGATCCACACGGACGCTATCACACTCTGGTGAACGTCTACGGTCCGAACAGTAAACAGATGGAATTCTACCGCAAGCTTTACAAAATCATCTCACATCATAAACAAGGCAGACTCATCATTGGTGGTGATTTTAACGTTATGGGCAACCCACTTTTAGATTCGTCCTCCAGCAAAAGACCCACCAAACTTAACTTCAACCACTTCCTGCATGACCACGATCTGTACAACATCTGGAGATGTCAACACGGCACTGAGAGAGACTATACCTACTACTCCCCTCCTCACCTTTCATATTCAAGAATCGATATTTTCGTTACCGACACACATGGACATTACAACATCTGACATTATCAAAAATTGGTACCATAACCTGGTCAGACCACGCTCCAATCAGCATATCCTTAGACAACGATCAACGCTCAGCAATCCCACCCATATGGAGACTAAATTCTTCACTCCTGAAAAATCCAGAAAACCAGAAGCATATCCTAGAAGCCCACAATCTCTTTTTTGACACTAATTCCACCCCTGAGTGCCCTGACTATGCAAGAAAAATGCATAGGTCCTTCTAAAATGCATACCAGATCCTTAATGTGAGGGTGTGCTTTCCCTCCTGAACCATAATACGCTACACACCTTCAAAATGGGGGCCCTTGTCCCCACATTGAAGAGGACATGGTTCTCTTCTTCACAATCATTGCCTGGTGGTTGTATGGGTCTGTAAGCAGGGACTTATCTGAATCTTGAAGCCCACTATAACAATAAGGGGCGCCAAGATAGTAGCCTCCTTATATTTCAATAAGAATTGGGGGGGGCTAATTGGAATATGAAAGCACCCTTTAACAACAAGTAGCCAGATATCCGCTCCCTTGTGTAAATGAGTAAGAAGTAGGTACATAGTACTACTCATTCACAAAAAAAGTAAACATTCAATAAACACAAACATAGTTTTGATAAGTTCTTTTATTTAAAAAAAAAGTCCCATGATGTTCATCCACAATCAATCTTGTTGTCTAGAGATGGGGTCTGTTCTATGTTCAGCTGTTCATGTCAGGGGGCAGCTTCTTCTGGGTGATGTAATTGACCTTGTATTGACCATATATGATTAATGACAACACTGAGACCCATGACATAATTTACCAAATATGATCATGTCCCATTATGGTCAGTGACATCACCCAGAACATCCTGCCCCCTTGTATACAACAGCTGTCATTCATCAGGAGGGAAGCAAATGGATCAGAATTGTCTATTTACAGCATTTTTTTCTTTTGGATGTTAGGTGTGTTGATGGGTATCATGATTGACATTGATATTCTTTGCTGATTGACATGATTGTTCGCAGATTTGCATTGTGAGAATTTTATTTTTGATTTAACGTGTCAAAAACTGTGTTTTTTTTTCTGTTTACATTTTTTTGTGAATGAGTCTGGGTAATATGTGCTTCATACTCATTCACATCAAGGGTGGATGGCAGCATTTGGGTAATCCCTTGTTGTTCAATTCCAATAAATCACCCACCCGCAGACCTCTCACAACCACTAGGCAAAGATTGTAG